CTAAACCCTAAACCCTAAACCCCAAACCCCAAACCCTAAACCCTAAACCCTATATACACCCTGAACCCTGAACCTAAACCCTGAACCCTAAACCCTAAACCCAAAACCTTGGTCCCGGCCAAGCTCGCTGGAGTGCTCGCAGCTTGCCGTAGGAGGGGTGCCTGAGCCTAACTTTGCAATCAGGGTTTAGGGTTTAGGGTTTAGGGTTTAGGGTTTAGGGCTTGGGGTTTTGGGTTTTGGGTTTTGGGTTTAAGGAAAACCCCTTTTAGGGTTTAGGGCTTGGGGTTTAGGGCTTAGGGTTTAGAGTTTAGGGTTTAGGGCTTGGGGTTGAGGGATTAGGGTTTAGGGAGCCCTTGACCCGCACGTCGCTGACCCCCGCTGCTTACCATTCGGAGCGCCGACTAAGTCAAGACGGGCTTCCTTCGTGGACTCGATGGCTCCCACATCTGACATCTGTGCCACTGCTGCCGGGTGAGCTGTGCTTCAAGGGTTTAGGGTTTAGGGTTTAGGGTTTAGGGTTTAGGGTTTAGGGTTTAGGGATTCTCCGCATTGCCGCCGGAGGAAGAATCGGCACCCGGCACCCATCGCGCACTCAGCCTGCCGCAGCCAAGGTCAAGGCAGGATCGCGCACTCCTGCCGTCCGCGCCTCCATTGACTACTGTTTGCTTCAGAACCCCCCAAAAACTAAGAGGTGATAATCCCTAAATTTCCCTTATAAGGAAGGTTTTTTTTTTTTTTGGGGGGGGGGGGGGGGGGAGGGGGTTCTTCAGCAAATAGTAGATTGAGGGTGCTGGTTCAGGGCTTCTTTCGAGAATCGAGCGTTCCCAGGGATTCACCATGCTGACCCCGAAGCCCTAAGCCCTAAGACCTAAGCCCAAAACCCGAAACCCTAAACCCTAAACCCTAAACCCTATGCCCTAAACCCTAAACCCTAAACCCTGCAAATCAGAACTACGGGGGCATTCGAGCTCTTTGGGACAGCTCCCCTAAACGCTGTGAGGTCCAAAGCACTTGAACCCTAAAGCCCTCCACCCCCTTTAGGGTTTAGGGTTTAGGGTTTAGGGCTTAGGGTTTAGGGTTTAGGGTTTAGGGTTTAGGGTTTAGGGTTTAGGGTTTAGGGTTTAGGGTTTAGGGTTTAGGGTTTAGGGTTTGGGGCTACCCTCCTGACCTTCACCTTCATCCCGAAGCTCAAAACCATAAAATCTTAAACCCACCCCAAAAAAACAAAAAAACTCCTCACATTCTATGCCCTAAGCTCTGAAGTCCCCAAACGTCCTTCAATCCTTAACCGTGAGCCAAACCCTAAGCCATGTAAAACCCTAAACTCTAGAACCCTGTCCCTAAACGTCATTCATTCCTTAACCCGAAGCCAAACCCAAAGCCAAACAAAAACCCTAAACCCTAGAACCCTGAGCCTAAAACCCTTCCTCTCCTTCAAAGCTCTGTGGTGCTTTACTGTAACCTTAGACCCTTAGCCTTTTTGGGTTTCTTGGCTTTCTTAAGAAGGCAGCTAAAAAAAAAACTTATAGCTACCCTGCCTAAGTGCAGCCAAGAAAGGAGCCCACCGGTGGCGCTGAGTTTAACCCGGACTTCGATGGTGGTGAGGAGTCGACGCCTCGGGCAAGGGGCTGATAGGGTTTAGGGCAGTTAGGGTTTAGGGTTCAGGGTTTAGGGTTTAGGGTTAAGGGTTTAGGGTTTAGGGTTAAGGGTTAAGGGGTTTAGGGTCCATAGGCGCGTTTGGGGTGTGTAGGGGTTTTAGGGTGTTTAGGGATCTTAGGGTGATGGTGTTTAGGGTATTTCGGGTGTTTTTGGGTGTTTAGGGTGTTTAGGTTTAGGCATCAAAGGGTGCTGCTATCGAACACCCAAATATCCCGCTTTTAGTGTATTTGTAGGAGGCCGAGGAGTTTTGTCGGTTTGGGGTTTAGGGTTGGGATGCCCCCTCTTTATACTATAATCCCGATTAAGGACTGCTAGCTTAGGGGTACTTGGACATGATTTCTAATTTCTTGGTACTAGATTCCGAAGAAACAGCAAAAAATATGTTGTTTTGGTGGGGTTCCGGGTTCAGTATAGTTAGTATAAGAGGGAACATCCCAAGTTTAGGGGTTTATGCTTGGGGCTTTCTGGCGGCTTCAGAGCTGTTGGGTGGAGGGGTTTAGGGTTTAGGGTTTAGGGTTTAGGGTTTAGGGTTTAGGGTTTAGGGTTTAGGGTTTAGGGTTTAGGGTTTAGGGTGTTTTGTTTGGTCGTGTTTTTTGCGGTCGGGGGTATCAGAGGTGAGGGCTTCGGGGGTTGCAGAGTCTGGGGGGGTCTAGGGTTTAGGGTCTAGGGTTAGGGGTTTTTGGACTCTGGGGTTTTCAGGGTTTTCGACTTCGGGGGGCTGAGGCTTCAGGGTTGAGGGTTCAGCATTCAGAGCTTAGGCGTTATAGCTGCCCTCAACCCTAAACCCTAAACCCTCAACCCTCAACCCTCAACCCTCAACCCTCAACCCTCAACCCTCAACCCTCAACCCTCAACCCTCAACCCTCAACCCTCAACCCTCAACCCTCAACCCTAAACCCTAAACCCTAAACCCTAAACCCTAAACCCTAAACCCTAAACCCTAAACCCCTAGCCCTGGACCTGAAAAACCGGCCGAGGTGCCAGCGCCTCACCGTCATCGTAGAGAACGACATCTCAGGAGGCTATTCCCCTGTAGGGTTCCCTTTAGGGTTTCCCTATTGCCCCTCTCTATACTACCCCCTAAATATGTGGCCTTGATTATGGGGGGAACCCAGGCGGGGTGGTATAGAGGCGGGTAGAATTGCTTAAGAACCAGTTTAAGGTTTGGCGTTTGGGGCTATAGGATTTAGGGTTTGGCGTTTGCCGTTTTGGGGTTTTGGGGTTTAAGGTTTGGCGTTGATAGGGCTTACAGGGTTTAGTCGTTTTTGGGAAACCCCCCCAAAATGATAACATACTCTTCATTATCAGGGCAATATGGGGATTACTCTTGTATCTTTTTGGGAGCCCTAAACCCTAACCCCTTAAGCAAACAGTAGGCAAAGGGCGTAGAGACCAAGGTTTTATACGGAAGTGAGGCTTAAAAGGTGTCGGAGTCTGAAGACTTGCAGGGTATGAGACAGCAGTGTTCAGTGGTTTAGGGTTCAGGGGGGTTTCCGGTTTAGGGTTTAGGGTTTAGGGCTTAGGATTTATGGTTGAGGGCTTCTTGAGGGAAGAGGGTTTAATCTGTTTTTTCCTTTCTGGCCTCAGCCGCGACTCACCACCCTAGTAACAATTCATCCGGTCATGTCCTGCATCGAAATGACGATTTCCCAGCACACCCCCCCCCCCCCCCCCCCCCCCCCCACCCCTCCCTAATGCCCTGAAACCCCCGCAACCCCTAAACCTCTAAACCCTAAACCCCAAACCTTGCCCCTAAAGCCAAAACCCTAAACATAACCCCTAAACCCCTAAAGGCCTAAACATACCCCCTAAACCCTCGACTCTAAACCAACAATCGAAAGCGCAGGCTCCTGCTTCACGGCAGCGATCGACAGCTTCATCAACTTAGACGAAATTCGACAGGCCAATGGATTCTGGACCCCCGAAAGCCCTGTCCCCTAAACCCCGAAGCCTCTGAACTCCTAAACCCCAAACCACAAAAAAACCTAAACCCTAAACCCTAAATCCCAAACCACCAAAAGCCCACGACCCTTGAACCCCACCTAAACCTGAAACCCCTAAACCCTACGAAACCCACCGAGGCACTTTCAAAGAGGTGGCCACTCTAATATAGGGGTCGGAATAATTACTAATCCTCTTCCCTTCTGGTTCCTTTATACTTTGACCATAGTAACCCCAAAACACTGTTCTAGTCATTTAGGCCCCTATAGTAAGCCCCTAGATTACCAACAGCCCTAAGCCTCATCACCCCGTACCATAAATCCTGAACTGTAGGTCGGTTTGGGGTAGCGCTCCACCATTGGTTGTTGCCGGTTAGAGTTCGCTTGAGAGCCTTTTTTTTGGCATATTTTGTATGCTACCCTAAACCCTAAAACCTAAACCCTAAAACCTAAACCCTAAACCCTAAACCCTAAACCCTAAAATCTAAACCCTAAAACCTAAACCCTAAACCCTAAACCCTAAACCCTAACCCCTAAACCCTAACCCCTAACCCCTAAACCCTAAACCCTAAACCCTCCCTTAAGAATCCTAGGATAGCAGGTCTGTCGCATGAAACCCTTTTCTCACCCCCACTGGGCCTATGAGGGCTGGATGCCCAGGGGGGTCCATCTGTTTACTTGGGGTTTAGGGTTTAGGGTTTCGGGTTTAGGGTTTAGGGTTTAGGGTTTAGGGTTTAGGGTTTAGGGTTTAGGGTGAATTAGGTACCCCAAAAAACCTCCAGCATTGTTTTTTGGGTACCTAAGTCCATAACGGTACTACAGATACCCCGTGGGATGGGTAGCGTGGACTGTTGCAGGTCGTTGGGCGGTTGTCTTGTGCAAGGCTTAAAGCTTACTAGCTGCGTAGGTAACCTTGAACCTTTTGGGGTATATATGGGGGTTTCCGAAATCAGGGGTACCTCATTGGAGTCCTTATGATAAGGGGATGCTACTATTCGGGGATCTATACGTAAACCCCCATGTAATCCTACCAGAATCGAAAGGCCAAACTTTTGTTGGCCCAGGGTGCTCAGCAACTAGGAAAGTATCTTTGCAGTGACCACTTGGAGGTTCATCCCATGGTACTTATAAACCCAAAAATATCTGTATTTATGACCCAACGTACAACCCTGTTGGGTGTACTTCAGGGGCATAGAAGGTGGGTTAGAACTTGATTCATCTTTTGGCTGTCAAAAAGCTGAGAAGCAGGTGGGTTTACGAAAAGAAGGGACCTCCCCCCAAAATGTAGTCCCCCCAAATAGTAGGAGTCCCTTGTAATCAGGATCCCCCCCAAATGAGGTAACCCATAATTTCGGAACCCCCCCCCCCCCTTCTTGATTTCGGAAACCCCCAGATCCAGTTATGGTGACGCCGACTCACAAGACGCCCCACTGGCGGGATGGAGTGCTGGTCGCAAGACTCATCCTTTTTATTCTGGCGCCCTTGTTGATTCTAGTTTCCTTGGCTCCATCTCGGTCGACGAAAACCGGAAAGCCTCAGGTTCTAAGACAAGAGGCTGACGATGACGTTTACTCAGCTACTCCCATGTGCAGCGCGTGGGGTGTTTGTGGCGAGACCCCGCACGTGCCGTCTCCAAGGACCATCTACAGCGCCAAGTCTCGCGCCCAGTATGAGCTATGGTGGGAGGCCCATGCGAAACTGAATGCATCGGCTGCCGAATACGTGGCACATCGGCGGGATTCGAACAAATCCTCCCTGAAGCCTCCGCTCGTTCTATTGGGCGATTCCATTACTGAAGAGTGGCTGGGGACCAATATGGGCCTGCCCGACAAGCGCTGGCGGAAGATTCCCAACATCTTGCGTGAGGTGTTTCTCCCTGCATACGATTCTCTGGTCTTGGCGATCGGAGGTGACCAGACACAGCACTTGCTGCTTAGTAGCCCAGTGGTACCCTTTACCCTTTAGCCTTTTTTGGTTCTGGGTTCCCTTCTACAGAAACCAACCAAAAAAGGGTAACTTGTTGGTATAGGGTTACTGGGCTACTAAGGCTGTGGAGGATGCAACACGGAGAGCTGTCGCTCCTTCTGCCCGAGGTCGCTCAGGATGATTCGGCCGTCTTTGTCGTGCTGATAGGCACCAATAACTTGGGAAGTGGGCATCTCCCTTTTGAGACACACTTGGGAGTCATGGCCGTCGCGGAATATGTTTTGCAACACACGGCCGGTCGCCTCCTGCTACTGCAGGTCTTGCCGCGAGGCGACATCTTTCGCCTGCGTCCCCTGTGCCCCGGTAGGCCCTTGGGACATTGGTTTATTTACCCCTTATTGGGTTTAAGAGGATCACCCTAAACCCTAAACCTAAACCCTACACCCTAAACCCTAGACCCTAAATCCTAAACCCTAAACCCTAAATCCTAAACCCTAAACCCTAAACCCTAAACCCTAAACCCCAAACCCTAAACCCTAAACCCTAAACCCTAAACCCTGTTCAGGAACATGTTTCAGAGGGCTTTAAGGGCCAGCCTAGGTGCCCTCCCCGCTGCAGCTCGCGCTCGGGGGCCCCGTTTCGCTCCTTCATGCCGGCGGTCGCGAAGTTGAATCAAGGGATTCGCGATGCCGCGCCCGACCTGTCCAAGAAATACAGCCAGCGACTCAGCTTGCTGGACTGCGGCCCCAGCTTCGTTCCCGCGCACGCGGGGGAGTGCTCCTCCGGCAGGGGCAACTCTTGCGAGGTGGAGGAGTCGCTCATGCCGGATTTTTTGCATCCCAATGAGCTTGGGCAACGCCTCTTGGCAAGATGCATCATGGAATTCCTTGGAGGACGAAAATGAACCCTAAAATTGGGGTCATATACCCTAGACTACTTCGATTGCTATTCAGGTGTCTGAGCCATAAACCCCTTTAGGGTTCACTTGGTCCCCAAGGGACATTCAACATCGTGCGCGCCAGATAAAGGTTGAATCATTCCGGTTCATTCACTCAAACCCTAAACCCTAAACCCTAAACCCTAAACCCTAAACCCTAAACCCTAAACCCTAAACCCTAAACTGCAGATGGCTGATTCAAAGGGAGCTGAGATGGGTGGCGGCCAGGCATCTGCTCTGTGTGCAGGAAAAAGCGTGTCTCCGCGCACTAGTTTAGGTAGGGTTTAGGGAGCTAGGGTTGTGAGTACACTCAGGACAAAACCCTAAACCCTAATCCCTAGACCCTAAACCCGAAACCCTCAACTCTAAACCCTTAACCCAGCTCTCAACTAGTGGGCCCATACTTCCCAACAACGAGCATCAGGAGCCAAGCAACACCTCCCCCCCCCCCCCTCGATAGTTTCTTTTTCCCTAGCTTCAGCCGCCTTAGGAATGAGCTGTTTTGCTTCTATTGATACAAATCCCAAGGGAATAATAAAAAGTAATGTTGTTATGAAGGTTCCGAGGGGAGTACAGCCAATATTAAACCTCCCCCGTACCCCCTTATACTAGAGACCCCACCCCCATACACTACAAGAGCACTATCATATGGGAGCATTGAATATTCGGGGGTTACGGGAGGTTAAATATGAGGGGAGGGGATTAGAATCAACAACACCTTCCTTTTGGATTTAGGCGTTGGGGTTTTTGGTTTAGGGTTGAACTCTCTGTAGCCTGACACCCTAAACCCTGGTTTAGGGTTAGGGTCTTGAACCTTGAACCCTTAAGCCCTCACAGCTTATCCACACCAAACCCTAAGCCCTAAAACCCTAAACGCTAAAATCCTCAACCCTTAAATCCCAAACCCGAAGACCCTCAAATTGTAAAGCTATACACACGTCAGCTAAGCCCCTAAACCCCCAAAACCTTTAAACCCCTAAACTCCAAAATCCCTAAATCCCTGAACCCCTAAACCCTAAACCCCTGAACCCTTAAGCCCCTAAACCTAAACCCCTTAAACCCTAAACACCTAAACCCCTAAAACCCCTAAACCCCTAAACCCCTAAAAACCCCTAAACCCCTAAACCCCTAAAAACCCCTAAGCCCCCCCTAAGCCCCTAAGCCCCTAAGCCCCTAAGCCCCTAAGCCCCCAAACCCCTAAACCCCTAAACCCCTAAACCCTAAGCCCCTAAACCCCTAAGCCCCAAGCCCCTAAACCCCTAAACCCCTAAACCCTAAACCCTAAACCCTAAACCCTAAACCCTAAACCCTAAACCCTAAACCCTAAACCCTAAACCCTAAACCCGAAGTCCTGTCAGGGCACGGCACTCTGGAGAGACCAGGTTCTGGAGGTGCGCCCCTATTTCGGGTTCAAGATTTAGGGTTTAGGGTTTAGGGTTTAGGGTTTGGGGTTTAGGGTTTAGGGTTCAGGATTTAGTGTTGAGGGTTGAGGGTTTCTGCCCTCTGAGAATCCCAGACCCTAAAGGGGTTTAGGTGTTGAAGGCATGCAGGAGGTTTGGGGGTTAAGGGGTTGAGGGTTCAGAACCCCTAAACCCTAAACCCTAAACCCTAAACCCTAAACCCTGAACCCTAATCCCTAAACCCTAAGGGTTCAGGGTTGAGACCCTATCAGCCCTAGATCCTTGCACCTGGTCCCTGCGGTAGTGGGGTTCCCTAAGCCGCTACCCCTAAACCTTAAACCCTAGTCACCATAGGATTTAGGATTTCAAGAGCTGCGTCGGAGATTGCGCCGTAAATTAAGGGTTTAGGGGTTTGGGGTTTAATCCCAAGGCAAAAACAGAAGCCAAGATCTGACATCCTAAACCCTAAACTCTCTAAACCCTGAAGCGCGCAACCCAAACCCCGAACACTAAGCCTTAGGGGTACTTGGAAACAGTTCAGTGTTGGGTTACTAGAACCCCAAAGGAACAGCTGAGTTTTGAGTGTTGCAAGGGTGCGAAGTTCATGATAGAAGCCCAAAACGCCACACACGAATTAGGCCACCAATTTCCAACCCCAGTCATAGCTACCCATGAACGTCCAAGTACATCCCTCCCTCCGAAACCCTAAGCCCTAAGCCCTAAACCCTAAATCCTAAACTCGAAACCCTAAACCCGAAGCCCTAAACCCTACTTCCCATCGGATCCGCAAGCCCCCTGCCCCCTCCGCCCCCAGCACTTGGAGGTTCAGGGTACTTAGAACAAAACAAAAAGTGCACTGAAAAGCCCCTGCAGTACCCTGATAGGGTTATATTTGGGTTCTATGTCCTGTTACAACCCTAAACCCTAAACCCTAAAGCCTAATTCGGTTACTAAGGACCATGAACCTCCAAGAACTGAGTTGGGTTACTAAGTTCCATGAACCTCCCAGCAGGCGCTGTTTGTCGGTGGCTCTCGTGAAGAGCAGGCGGGTTGCCAGGGCTTTCGAGTTCAGGGTTTAGGGTTAGGGTTTGTTTGGGGTTTAGGGTTTAGGGTTGAGGGTTGGGGGTTGAGGGTTTAGGGTTTAGATATTTAGGGGGTGCATCTGATGCCTTTTGTCGGTTCTGGTGGGTTTGTCCACTTGGGGTGTTCTCAGGATATTCTGGGGATGGCCAAGTGAGACTGAGATTCAGATGTTTGTGTGACAGAAAGGGTTTCCCTTTGCCGTATGCGATCGGAAGGGTTCAGAGCGTTGGAGGACTACCAGCAGTCTTCAGGTCTTAGGCCTCTCCGACATTTGTTGATCGGTTACACCCTAAACCCTGAACCCTAAACCCTAAACCCTAAACCAAAAAACCCAGCGTTCATTGAGTCTTTAGGTTAAGAGTCCTCAGCCCGCAAGAAGTCCCTGTTTCGGAGCTTTGAGTAGCTTCTTGAAGCGGTTTTCGGGCTGTTTTCGGGCTGAAGCTTTATGATTGAAAGTCCAGGAATAGGATTTGAGGCGATTTAGATTCATAGGTCAGGGTTCGGACAATTGGATTGGCCAACCCGAAGCCCCGGAACTCCGAACCCTTTTGAGTTTAAGGTTCCCGGTTTAGGGTGAAAACAACCCTAAGCCCTGAACCCTAAACCCTAAACCCTAAACCCTAAACCCTAAACTCTAAGCCCTAAGCCCTTAGCCCTAAGCCCTAAGCCCTAAGCCCTAGCCCTGGACGGCGCCAACAGGAGCAGGCCGGAGCGCTCGACTGGCCCCTTGGTGGCACTTTCTCTTTCTGGGTGTTCGTGCGTACTTGGGTTTAGTGAGTTAGGGTTTAGGGTTTAGGGTTTAGGGTTTTCAGGGTTCAGGGTTTAGGGTTTAAGGTTGGGATGTTCCCCCGTATACTAACAGTCCTTAGTGGGGACGATAATCGGGGGTACTGCAATCCGAACAAAGGACTGTTGGTATAAGGGGAACATCGCAAGGTTAAGGGTTTAGGGTTTAAGTTTTGGTGTTCTGTGTTTAGGGTTGAGGATTTAGGGCTTAGTAGGGTTTAGGGGGTTGTTCACGGGGGTTGGGTCGGGGTTGGGGGGGGTGGGGTAGGCTCCTACTGCTTCTCCGTCCCCCCCGTCCACCCCCCCAAAAGAAAAAGAAAATAAACAAATAACATGAAAGAACATGCCAAACCCTAAACCTACACCCTGAACCCTAATCCAAGAGGGTGTAAGTAATATGGGTTTGAGGGCAAAGGCTTTCAGAACACCCAAGGCTCAGCCACTTCTTGTACCCGAAACCCTAAACCCTAAACCCTAAACTGTAAGCCCTAAACCCTAAACCCTAAACCCTAAACCCTAAACCCTAAACCCTAAACCCTAAACCCTAAACCCTAAACCCTAAACCCTAAACCCTAAACCCTAAACCCAAGGCTCAGCCACTTCTTGTGGCTGCCCTGGACGCTCACCTTCAACCTCTTCACACCACCCCCGGCCTACCTGGGCGGATGGGCCCCTCGGCAGCAGACTTCCGCAGCTGTCAGGGATTCCTGTCACCCTAAACCCTAAACCCTAAACCTTAAAGCCTAACGACCCTAAAACACAGGCGATGTAGAAAGCACAGCAAACCTTAGCCCGGAAGTCTTTGCCTGCCTCAGTACTCCAACACTTCTAAACGTCTATAAACTTCCAACCCCTAAACCCACAAGCCCTGAACCTATGCGGGCCTTAATGATTCCCCAAACCCTAAATCCTAAACCCTAAACCCTAAACCCTATACACCCTAAACCTTAAGCACCCCAGCAGGTGTGTTTTGTTGTCTCACTGGGCCACATCGCCTGGCTTACTGCCGCTTGGCGAAGACATTTCGCAGGGCTTAGGGTTTAGGGTCTAGGGCTAGGGTTTAGGGATTAGGGATTAGGTTTTCGGGTTTAGGGTTTAGGGCTTAGGGTTTTAGGGGCTCGAAGAAGACGCTGGCCCATGCTCTACCCCTCTCCCCCTCCCCACCGCCTCCGCGCTGGCCCCCCCAAGAAGGGATACCTGCAGAGTTTCCCTACTACAGGGTTTTGGGTTTTTGGTTGCTTCTTCTCGTAGAGTTCAGGGTTTAGGGTCTAGGGCTAGGGTTTGAGGTTAGGGTTTAGGGCGTGGCGTTCAGGGTTTAGGGCTAGGATTTAGGGCCTTTAGGGTATAGGGGAAGAAGAAGAAGAAGAAGAAGAAGAAGAAGAAGAATAAGCTCATCCTGCCAGATCATCATCGGCGACCTTGCCGAACTCTTCGGCTGCGTCGCTGGGCCGCGGTCTTCTTTTCAAAGGGCAGTCTGGGGTCGTCCTAAACTCATGGGTTTCCCCAAGGTTTAGGGTTTAGGGTTTGGGGTTTGGGGTTTGGGGTTTGGGGTTTGGGGTTTGGGGTTTGGGGTTGGGGTTTGGGGTTTGGGGTTGGGGTTTGGGGTTTGGGGTTTGGGGTTTGGGGTTTGGGGTTTGGGGTTTGGGGTTTGGGGTTTGGGGTTTGGGGTTTGGGGTTTGGGGTTTGGGGTTTGGGGTT